TTTCAATGAACTGAAAATTTGCATATTTTCAAAAAATTCGTTCGCAGCTCGGACCTTAACCGCAATAGTATATCTAAATGAACGTGCATTTTTTGACAAACGACCACTCGAGCGATACTTCCACTTTTTAGTGAGCTGGAAATTTGCATTTTTTCAAAAAATTTACATTTGTCATTTTTTTCACAAAGCGAACATTTACCGAAAAAAACGACCCGACTTCATGCAAAAAACGCATAAAAAGCGGTAATCATGCACCTGGACGTCCTTGCGACTTTAGAATGCACCACCTTCATCCCAACTGATGCCCTTCCTTCTGCATGCCGGTAAGGATCAAAGCACGGCCAATATTAGCCCAAGTGTTAGGCTACAGCGTAGGGATCATTCCTGCCAATAGCGATCTGCGAGTTTAGTGCAAAAACGCATGATCGCACCGGAGAGCCTAGTGCGTTCCATCCTGGGTTGTTTACTAATATCTATTTGTTTTCTCTCTTCCGTGCAACCTACTGGTGCAATCAGCCTCGGACTATGATACATTAGGGCCACTGGGTATTTGTTACTTGCCTACAATGAGTGGACACATTTCATTTTGTACAAATTAGTTTTGTAATTTCATTTTTGTAATCTTGAGTCACACGAGGTATTGCTACTTCATTTTCTTATACAGCTTTTTCTTCACAGAGCGAGTACAATACGAATATGATGTGTTTTGGATTACCGCCTGCCCTTGTTTTTGCAGTTGTCGTCGTTGTGTCGTATGGCATGGTCGTTGTGTCGTACAGCGTAGTCGTTCTGTCGTATGGCTTAGTTTTGTCGTATGGCGTAGTCGATCTATCGTTTGGCGTAGTCGTTTTGTCATATGGCCAAGTCATTCGGTCATATAACGTGGTCGTTCGGTCGTATGGTGTAGTCGTTGTGTCACGTGGCGTAGTCGTACTGTCGTATGACGTGGTCAGCATCGTCACAGTACCACAAAGACCACATGTTTTGGGGCAAACATGCGTTCGAATAAATTGGTCGTTGCAATTCGGGGGAGGAAATAATGGGCAGTGTGCAGCGAACACATCTTCGCATTCTGAAATATTCAACGAAATATCACTCTTTTCAAAGTTTTAATTTAGACGCACAATTTCGTGCATAATTTTACTGTCATGAATAGACAGGCGGGTCCTGAGCGCTTCACTGGGGGTAGGTGATTTTTTTCCCATCCTCCTTCCTCCCACTTGATCACCGCTTCTGCAACCCTACTGTCCCTCTACCCAACGGTGGTTCCACTGCACCCCCGTCCCCGTCACTATGCTCAACGGTCCTCCGCAGAGCTTCTCTGGGGGGAAGGGGAAGAAGGGGAGTGACAGGAGGTACCGAACAGACTTTTGTACAGTAAAACAGCTGCTACCTGGGCCTATGGAGGGAGGCCTCTTCCCCTCTTCCCTCTCACCCGTTCCCCTCCCATTCCTCCCCTAAAACAACTGCTACCTAAGTCTATGAAGGGCAGCCTCTTCCCCTCCTCCCGCTCCCTTGTCCCCCTCCCACTCCTCCCCTCCCTCCCCTCTCTCGGCCCCACCCTTCCCTGAATCCGCCAGTGCATGGAAAAGGTAAGTGAAGGACACAGAACTGTCTCGTATCGTGAACGCCAGAGCCTCCCGGACAGAGGATGTGGATGTGGGTGGTGTTACGGGAAGGCTCTCACACACCTTTTTATGCGTTTTTGCGTCTATGCAGTACAGAAAACGCATATTGACGAGGAGCCTTCATCTCCAAAATGCGCGTTCTTACTCACGCGGTACCCACGTACTGATTCAACAAAGTTTCTTTCGGGTAGTTGCTAACGCGGGAACCTGAAAAGCTAGAAGAATGGAATTTTAAAGGGATGTTCCCGTCCAAGTAGGTATTAATGAGTTCACACCTAGCCCTCGGGTACGCGTGGTACCCACGTACGGGCCTATGAAAGTTTTCGAGTAAATTGCCAATTGAGAAACCAGGAAAGATAGAAAGTTGAAATTTTAAAAGAATGCATTCAGGTAGGCCTGGTAGCCAGTCTCAATTCTCTTAGCTAGAAGCATTTGCCAGAAAAAGCCTGCCAGTAGCAAAAAAAAACTGCTAGGAACTGTGCAAAAAATCCATCTTCGATCGGTCGTTTAATCCAGTTATTATCCGTTTACATAAGTAATGAAGTGCAAAAACGCAATGGGAACATATATATGTTGTTGAATAATTATGCGTTTTTTACGTGTATGCTTATGAAAACTTTTATTTGCGTATTTTTGGTTAAGAACTTTCAGAAAAGAAAATTACCTTCAGCTGATTCAGGTGTCGTTTCAGGCCAATAAGCGTTGCAGCTACAAAAAAGTACAGCAGTGCTAAAAACAAAAGCCAGTTCCCTGACGAACATGTCTGAGCGTCTTGAAAGGAAATGTGGGATTTTTGTTTGCTTATATGTACAAATATATGAGCCTGCGTAAGCATGATAAAGATGGCGATGATAAGTACTTTGTTATTCGCATTCTTACCTCTAAAAAACTTTTGACATTTACTTGTATATTTACATACGTTTCAAAAAATGACTGATAAACGTCTTTTCCGACTGCCTGTGTGTGTGTAGAAAAGTGCTTATACTTAAGTACCATAAAGTGCAGTCGGGTGCTGTGGGTGATCCAAAATTTTCTGTGCATTTTAAAAATATCTCAAATTTCCGCGAATCATTTTGTCTTCTTCCCCAAACAATCTGCATGTTCTCTATCGTTTGGGAGAAACTGGTACTGGTGATCCACACACTATTTCGCACCGATTGCTGCTGTCTGTGTTTACAGTTTAGGGATGAAATAAGGACAGACTAATAAATCACAGCAAATACAGGCTTGCCTATATGCAAATCTAAATGTCACTGTTCGATGTTTTCTTCCATTTATTAGAAATCGACTGTTGGTTTTTCATGCGTTTTTGCTGTGCAGCGCTATAGCAGCCAGCAAAAACGCACATTGTCGAGAGGCTGTGTGTGTGTGTACGTGTGTGTGTGTGTGTGTGTGTGTGTGTGTGTGTGTGTGTGTGTGTGTGTG